CTTCAGCGCGCACAGCCCAGCATTCACATCCATAGAGGAGGACTGACCGGACGGATGCGCGGTACACGCGAACCTTCATGGCAATAGAGATATCGCATCGGGTCCATAGGCACTTTCGGAGGATTTAGAAGACCTGGCGAGAAGCATCGATCCGGGAGACAATGTCGTTCTTGCTCTGTCCATTGGCAGCCTCGCCCCGAGGTATTTAAAGCTGTCTACTTCTTCAAGTTGATGGCCGTTAAATCCCCAGCAGTGCCTTCTCCTGGTCAGGGATACAGCTGGAGAATAACTTCGCCTTTCCGGAATTTATGGATTTGCCAAGCGACATAGCGATCTCATTTAACCGCCACACTACCGACTGTAGACCACCAAAGCTTGAGGCTAGCAGCGCAATATCATTGGCGTATTCAAGATCAGTTAGCCGGCGTCCGGTACAGGCTCAACACCGTCCTCTGTTGTGGGCCTTGCCGAGAATCCAGTCAATGACGTAGTTAAACAGAATGGGCGAAAGGCCTCAGCCCTGTCGGACACCAGATCGGATATCGAACGATTGAGAGAGATTGCTGTGGACCAGAACTCGTGCGGTGGTAGACCGAAAGTAGGCCTTGATCATGGCAATGAGTTTGGTCGGCACTCCATCCACCCCTTCGGACTATCCTGTCTCCTCTACGTACTCACTGAAAAGATCAAACTCAATAGGTTTTCTCGTGACGAAGTCCAGAATAGGGTCTTTATAATGTGACACAAAGCTCGGCTGCCGGAAACGCCCCTTAGAAAGCTTTGGAGATTGCTACAATGTTTCCGAATCTAGTGAAACCAATCGAGATTGAATACCCCTTCATTCGAACAGGCACTCCGGAATTCAATGAGGACAGTGGGTATTAAGTGTATGCGAAGGGCTACTGCACCGTGTTTCTGTGGCGATGCAGCCTTGCTTGCAAAACTGAATTAACTTAAATGTTCTCACACTAGTCAGTGCTCGTTAGAATGTTGGCTTTCTATTCGAATTGTTCCCGCTCATCTGTGTGCTCACTCGCGTGATGTATTTTTTGGTATTTCTTTTTATGAAACATCTCACTGTTCCGTGCATTGTTTATTTCTACTTACAGTTCGCACATTCCCATGATGTATATCGGTGTGGAGTATAGTGCTAGCAACAATCACATATTATCCGAAAGGTTCCTGAAGTACGCTCGCGAACGAAATCCGAATGACCCGGCGATATTACACGAACTCGGGAGTTTGGCTTTCAAATCGAAAAGGTACTTACGTTATCATTGCCCCTATTACCCGATAATTATTTTGTTTGTTACTATAACATGTACTTAATTTTAGTCAGTAGAAGGTATTTCAGCTTAATATTCTTATTTCCTACAGGTACACTGAAGCACTTGACTTGTTAAAGCATGCCTACGCTATTGCGTTGGAGCTTAGCGACCAAGTCCTCGCGCCATATTGGGAGCCTCTGCTTAACAACCTGGCGCACGTTTACCGCGAGCTTGGGTATGCCTATTAATCTCTAACTCCATACCTTCTAAAGCTTTGGCCTGTCGTGTATTGAAAGCAAATTGCCTGATAAAACTCCGTGCTTTTGCAGGGACTATGAACAAGCTCTGAAGTTGCATTCTGCGGCGCTAAATCTGATTGAAAATTCGCCTTCCACTCTGGAGTCTATGGGCTTGATTTATGCCATGACAAATCGTTTCGAGGAGGCCGTACGCGCTTTCCAGACTGCAATTTCGTTTCACGCTCGCTTGGGAGACGTTAAGTTCGC